CAAATCCCAGCTTCTGCTTGCTTTCAAGTATAAGTAGGTGCTTTTAAACAAAGATGAGTAATGTTGGGATCCGCTGAAGATCTTTCAGTAGTTTTCTGTAGTTCTGACTCTCTGTTGTGTAAAGCATAGCAGTAGGAACAACATCTTTTGCCTTCTAAATTAGGTTTCTGAAAAAGACCACTTGGAGAAAGCGAAATAAGCAGTGGATTTGCAAACTTAGTACCGGAACTAATGACAAATTTCTAGGCTAAGCATTTCCTCAAGGATATACTGAATCTCATTTCCTGGCATGTGAATCTCCAGTTCAGCCACTACTTCATGGCTATTGTAGTTGTTAGATTTCAAGGTCTAAAGAAATGTCAGTAGACTGGGTCCTATGTGTGGTCAAGTTGCATTCCACACAGCTCACTTCTGGTTTAAATAGTCTTATCTTGTGTGCTGGCCATGGTCATGTAAAGTTAAGCATGTAGTAAGCATTAGTTTAGTTAGTAAATACATACTGAGATAATTGTTGCACGGCTCTTCCTGGATGAACCTAGAGAATATATTGAAAGCCCATGTGAGAAATTGCATGAAAGACTTTCTCTTTGGCTTGACTGTTGTATAAACATAGAAACATGATCTTTCATTAAAGAGTAGCTGTTCTTAATAAACCCCATTGGGTGATGCTTTTAGATCATTAATGGAAATGCTGGAGAAGCTTGGTCTTGAGTTACTCCATTAAAATTATTCTTATGTTTTATGTTGTTCCAGTGTTGGCCTACAGGGTCCGGATCTTATAACAATTAATGTACATTATGCTTGATTTTTTTTTTTTAAAATGGAAGAAGTAGTCTGGACTAAAGGATAAAAGTCAAAAGTCTGGCTTGTGTCTGTGGAGGTAACATAAAATGGAAATACCATCTGAAATAAAAGAAATAAGATTTAATCAATTTATTTCCAGAGCCAAATTCAACATCAACCCCACATTTCTACAAAAAGGGGTAGTGTATTTTGCATTAGTGCATCAATTTTCCTTTTCATTAGGTAGAGCCTTTTTCTCCACTTCCTGATATTTATTGCCAATTGATCACTATTGTGGTAAATGAACCAACAGGTAGTGTTTCTTAGACCTGAATTGTTGGTTATATAGATGCTCAGTATCTGCTCAGCTTCAATGCCACCATACATTGTACAAAAAGTCTATAAATTCATAGAAAGAGCAGAAAGAAACATGGGTTTCTACTACTTGAGCTATGAATGTAGCTTACATTCTTATCCTGGCACTAGGGAATGAATTATTTAATCTGGGTTTATTCTTCTTTATAATAAAAAAATGTTATCTAGCTGAACTGTGTCTGTTAGTCTTGAGTCCTAGTCTATGAAAGAGATTTAACTGTATTAATGGGAGCTATGTGATTTAACTGCTGAATCCTTTTTTATCTTTTGAAGAGATCTTGTAGATAGCTTTTGTATGTGTGTGTGTATGTGTGAGAGAGAGGTGGGGAGAGAGAGAGATCTCATTCATGTACCCAGGCCAGGCAGCACTCAATAGAAGGATTAGTAGAACTCTACTTTATTGATATAAGTATGAGAGCAGAATCTTGAAAACCTGTCAGTTTTCCTCTGCTGCCTCTTACATCAAACAAAATCAAGGCATCTTGAGATTTTTTTTCCCTCACCCTGTCTTTCCCAGTTCTAAGTTAAAGTTTACTTAATAGTTCTTGCATTCTTTGACTGTCTCCATACTACTGCATACTATGTCATAATCTCCTTAATGGTATGTACATTGCATTCTCTGGGGATAATTGTCTAGAACAGCGGTTCTCAACCTATGGGTCGCGACCCCATTTGGGGTCGATCGACCATTTCACGGGGGTCGCCAAGCAAGGCTGTCCGCCATTTTCCCCCCTTTTCCGGCGGGTGCCTTACCTCCCTTGGGCTGGGCCAGCTGGTGGTCGGCCTGCTCCGTCTCTGCTGCTTGCCAGCTACGCCTCGGCCAGCGCAGGGGGCGGAACCACGCATGCGCGGCGCTTCCGGGCAGGGAAAGTCCTCGACTTATGACCGGTTGCGTAGTCCTCGAGTTACGACTGGTTTAGTCCTCGACTTACGACCGGTTTAGTCCTCGACTTACGACCGGTTTAGTCCTCGACTTACGGCCGGTTGGGGGTCGTGGCATTAAAAAGGTTGAGAACCACTGATCTAGAAACTTTGTTTCTGATGACATCTGAGGTCCGTCCTGCTGTTCTATAACTGAGAATAGCCAGATTGATGAATGAACAATCAGTGCTATTTTTTTTAATCTCATGATCTATGATATTCATAGCCAGAACAGTAGCAACAAGATATAATACTTTGCATCATGTATCCATGTGTGTGGTAGAAATAATGCAATTAAATATCTCTATGTATATGACTGTGCTAATATCCTTGCGGTTCATCCTGTCCATAGAGTCTCACAAGTAGGTTCCACTGGTTTCATTGTCCCCTTCTCCCAAGTAAATGTCTGTGGAGATTCTTAGTCATCCAGGTTGTAGTTATCCCAAAGGTGATTTTTTTCACAAGGCAACTGGACGTTCTTGTTTTGCTTTGAAAATATTTCGCTTCTCATCCAAGAAGCTTCTTCAGCTCTGACTGGATGGTGGGGAAATGGAAGGATTTATACTCCTTGCAGACAGCTGGTCATTTGCATTTGCTTGAAGAAGCTTCTTGGATGAGAAGTGAAAAGTCTTCAAAAAAACGACAAGAAAGTCCAGTTGCCTCATGAAAAAGCACCTTTTTGGGCTTCCAAGTAAATGTTTATAGGACAATATACTTAGGTCATAAAGTATCTGGGACGATCCACAGTGATTGCACTAATTACGTATCACTCATAATGCAAGGCCAACTTTTCCCGTGATGTGTTGAATAAACCACAGTCGACGGAATTGAAATGCAAGCTAATCCAAACCCAAATTAACAATGTTTTAGTTTGCACTCTGTAAGCCCTAATTCCAAGTAAATTGACATGTAGTCATTTTGGTCCTGTAGGAACACTTAATCAAATGATATGGTGGTAGCTTTAATGTGGTTTTGATGGGCTTATGTGGATTCTTAAAGTATTAAGAGAAAAATGCTGGCAACAGTGGAAAGTGTGTATATTCGTTGAATTTTGACAGATTTAATGTTATCTTAATTCTTGGCAATTATGTGCTTTAAGCACTTAGTACTTGTCATTATATGCTCAATATAGCCGAGCTTTCCTGTTGAGGTTTTACCTCTTCTTTTTGCTTATCTGATTTTGGTCTCCTGTCTGCTAGAAATATAACTGATGGATAAAATGTTCTGAAAGTGAGGTTTTAGCATTGCTTATTAGCAAGTAGCTTTTCTAGTAGAAGTCTCTGGTTCTTTAGCAGGGAAACCATTATTATTGCAGAGGATCTGGAAGATGCTGGAAGTTGGATTCTTCTGAAAAGACTGCCCATTTGCCAGCTCAGTTATAGGTGGCAGTGAAACAGTTTGACAACTTTGGCCATCAAATGATAGGAACGCACAGGGAAGGAGTTGCTTAGTGTGGCAGCAACAACTGGCTTGTCACTCTTCGCTCCCCCTGCCTCCCCTTTTTTTTCATTTTGAAAATGTTATTTGTGGAGACAGCAATCATGCTTTGGCCTCCAATTCCAACTCCTCCCCTTTCCTGGGAATGATGCTAGCGGTCATTTTGTTCTTGCCTCCCAAAAGAGTGAAGTGTTTTGTTTCCAGATTTCCTAAAAGTCTCACCTTTCACACAGCTACACTAACAATGCCTCCTGCCTCAGAATTACAGGAAACAATGATTCTGATAGAGTCCAGGTCTTTCCAGTTTTCTTATTGTAGGAAACATTTCCTGAATCAGACATTCCTGTGATGGCCCAGGCCATAACTCCCAATCTTCCCAGTTGAAGGAAAGGTAATCCAGTATACCTAGGAAGTGTCAGGTTTGTTTAAAGGCTGTTTCAGAACATTCAAATCTCCCTTCAGCTAACCAAACTATTCTTGATGAACAAGCTGGCAAGAAACTTTGCATCTCAATCCTGATCTTGTTGAAATCTATGGGGTATTAATAAATAATAGGATTGAAATGATGGATCCTTGGTGCTCTCTCAGCTTGGCTGTTTTCTTGCAGACATTCCATTGCCCAAACTAGGTAACATCATCAGTGTTATGATGGTGCTCTGATGAAAATCATTTTAACTGGACTTTCACGTATGGGCCTAAACTTTTACACCTTGTAGTTTCATATTTTTAAACCTGTTTTTAATTATTTGAATGGCTCCTTGTTTTTATTGGCATTAACACATTTTACACATTGTTTAGAGCTGGAATTGTTATCCAGACTGTTAGCATATCAAGGTTGCAATAATAAAATAAAATAATTTTTTCTCTTAAGATGGACTTATTTATTCAAATCTTCATTCAAATCTGCCATGAAGGATATTTTCAGGAAGTGATGTCATGAGCTATTGCTGTAATGATCTGAATTGGCTAAGAAGCGAGACAGCAACAAAACTCCGGGCAGTCAAGAGTGGGGGGAAAAAGGCTCAGGTTCATTCTCAAAAAAAGCAAGTTGAGCAAATGGAAGGCATTAGTCAATTTGTACTAGATGACTATAACAAGGGCAAGAGGGATATTTGCTTTTTTGGGGGGGTTGTAGCAATATGTGTGTGATAACTAAAGAATAGGTTTGTACTTCATTTTTCTCTCTAAAATACATGTGTTGACAAATGCACCATAGAAAAAGATTAGGTGCAGGCAACCTGCTCTACAGGTGTTTGTATTTCAGCTGTCATAATTCCCAATCCATTTGCAGACTGTGCAGAAAGCCCTTTGTTAATGTTCAGGCCAATATTTTAATGCATTTCATGAGCTATGATAGAACCTGGTTAATTTAGTGGGCCAAGGTTGGCCTTGTGGTTGGATCACTGAGATTGTTAGAGCTTCTTGCTGTAATGTGAGAAATGAGCTTCCCCTTTTAAAAGGATGGGCAATATTTTGAAAGGACTATGCATATTCTAAATTCTTCTTTTTCTCATTTTTCAGCTGAGCCAGTGGATGTCCTCAAAGCATTAGAATTTCATAAATCTCCAGAAGGAATATCAAAAACAGCCGGCATTTGCATAAACAGAAAGAATTCCAAAGGATCAGATGTTGCCTACAGAGTTACAAAAAATGCACAACTCAGTGCCCCAACTAAACAATTGTACCCAGGTGAGTCAGTGTAAATATTATATTGGATATACATATACATATATGTATGTGGAGTGGATTTTCAGTATTTATCACTCTTTTAATTTTACTTTTCTGGTAACCAGTTCAAAAGTTCTCATTTTATTTTCAGTTTATATAATCAATACATTTACATCAATTTAGCTTCAAATGGAAATTTGAGAAATAAATCAGGTGGCTAATAATGAAAATTATATTAAGAATATCAGTTGCTTAGGAACACGAACAAGCGGATGGGAACTACCCCCCGAGATCCGGATGATTCCGGATCTCCTTACTTTCCGCCGCGCCCTCAAGACATGGCTTTTTCAGCAAGCGGGCCTGACCTAGGGAGGATTTTAGGCAGGGATAATTTTAAAAGTATTTTAATTGGAAACACAGCTTGTAATATTTGGTTTTAATTCGGCTTTTATCGGGGTTTATTTTCTGTATTTTTNGCACAGGGAAGGAGTTGTTTAGTGTGGCAGCAACAGCTGGCTTTTCACCCTTCGCTCCCTCTGCCCCATTTTTTTTTCATTTTGAAAGTGTTATTTGTGGAGACAGCAATCATGCTTTGGCCTCCAATCCCAACTCCTCCTCTTTCCTGGGAATGATGCTAGCGGTCATTTTGTTCTTGCCTCCCAAAAGAGTGAAGTGTTTTGTTTCCAGTTTTCCTAAAAGTCTCACCTTTCACACAGCTACACTAACAATGCCTCCTGCCTCAAAATTACAGGAAGCAATGATTCTGATAGAGTCCAGGTCTTTCCAGTTTTCTTATTGTAGGAAACATTTCCTGAATCAGACATTCCTGTGATGGCCCAGGCCATAACTCCCAATCTTCCCAGTTGAGGGAATGGTAATCCAGTATACCTAGGAAGTGTCAGGTTTGTTTAAAGGCTGTTTCAGAACATTCAAATCTCCCTTCAGCTAACCAAACTATTATTGATGAACAAGCTGGCAAGAAACTTTGCATCTCAATCCTGATCTTGTTGAAATCTATGGGGTACTAATAAAGGAGAATAGGATTGAAATGATGGATCCTTGGTGCTCTCTCAGCTTGGCTGTTTTCTTGCAGACATTTCATTGCCCAAACTGGGTAACATCATCAGTGTTATGAAGGTGCTCTGATGAAAATAATTTTAATTGGACTTTCATGTATGGACCTAAACTTTTACACCTTGTAGTTTCATATTTTTAAACCTGTTTTTAATTATTTGAATGGGTCCTTGTTTTTATTGGCATTAACACATTTTACACATTGTTTAGAGCTGGAATTGTTAGCCAGACTGTTAGCATATCAAGGTTGCAATAATAAAATAAAATAATTTTTTCTCTTAAGATGGACTTATCCATTCAAATCTTCATTCAAATCTGCCATGAGGGATATTTTCAGGAAGTGATGTCATGAGCTATTGCTGTAAAGATCTGAATTGGCTAAGAAGCGAGACAGCAACAAAACTCAGGGCAGTCAAGAGTGGGGGAAAAAAGGCTCAGGTTCATTCTCAAAAAAAGCAAGTTGAGCAAATGGAAGGCATTAGTCAATTTGTATTGTTGACTATAACAAGGGCAAGAGGGATATTTGCTTTTGGGGGGGGGGTTGTAGCAATATGTGTGTGATAACTAAAGAACAGGTTTGTACTTCATTTTTCTCTCTAAAATACATGCGTTGACAAATGCACCATTGAAAAAGATGAAGTGCAGGCAACCTGCTCTACAGGTGTTTGTATTTCAGCTGTCATAATTCACAATCCATTTGCAAACTGTGCAGAAAGCAGTTTGTTAATGTTCAGGCCAATATTTTAATGCATTTCATGAGCTGTGATAGAACCTGGTTAATTTAGTGGGCCAAGGTTGGCCTTGTGGTTGGATCACTGAGATTGTTAGAGCTTCTTGCTGTAACGTGAGAAATGAGCTTCCCCTTTTAAAAAATATTTTGGGCAATATTTTGGAAGGACTATGCATATTCTAAATTCTTCTTTTTCTCATTTTTCAGCTGAGCCAGTGGATGTCCTCAAAGCATTAGAATTTCATAAATCTCCAGAAGGAATATCAAAAACAGCCGGAATTTGCATAAACAGAAAGAATTCCAAAGGATCAGATGTTGCCTACAAAGTTACAAAAAATGCACAACTCAGTGCCCCAACTAAACAATTGTACCCAGGTGAGTCAGTGTAAATATTATATTGGATATACATATACATATATGGCTAGAAATAGAGCTAAAAATCCGACTCTTGGGTACGTCCATGTTGTATCAAAATAATTATGATCACCAAGAGTAGATGAAATGTTTATAAACAATTAAAAAGTTTAAAAACAATTTAAAAGCAATAAAACATTGTTAAAATTATCGGCAACCGAGCTTTCGTCGGACTCTCCCGACATCATCAGGGTTGCTGAGGCGGTGTTTGGGAGGGTTTATATACAATTCTCACATGTCTGCATCCGGCTGCGCGAGCGCGTAACAGGGCCCCGGTATATGCGCTCCTGCGCGGTGCCTGTTTTCCCTTTGCCCGCGTGTAAGCGTTTTGCCTTCTTTCCCTGCTTGTTACCATGGGATCCCTGGATATCCTCGTCAGGGATCATCTGGGGTTCTTTCTTATCTCCTTCATCCATTATAGCCCTTTCATCCTTCCCCTCCAAACCATCCGTTCTTTCTCCCTCATTCGTTTCACCCTTAATCCCTCTACCACTTTCGCGATCTCTC